TTTACGCGCCGGGGGTGTGGATGGAAGAAGAGGAGGGGTGGCCAAGCGATGACTTGGTCCAGAGGAGTGAAGGCCCTCACTTCTGAGCTGGCCTCGGTTGGAGCGTCTCGGCTCCCTGGTTCGGGTCCGAAAGACGATGAATACGTTTGATTGGACACATTTGCTGATATGGCTAGGAGCCGACCTCCGTGGCGTTCGTGCTCTGAGTTTCTTTGTCCCACCCCATCTCCCTTAGCCTCCCGCTCAAACCACAATCTCATTATTTAGCTTTATATAATTTCGCATATTATTTTTTGATGCACAGTAGCCGGCTGGTAGCTTACCGGGACGATGCCCATCCGTTACCGGTAGCTCAGCCAGCTTGCACCAGTTACATTTTTTCTCCTTTTTTTCTGTGTATTGCGGCAGAGTAGCTGAGGTGTTCCCCCACCTCTAGCTAACGTGTATGATGATGATGTGAAATGCACCGTTTCTGCCACAAGTCGATCCACAACCAGTGGGAGTTCTTAACCAGGGAAAGCTAAATGAAATCAGTATGTTCTAGAGTGGGACTCGATGTCGTCTACCTAGACCTTTCCAAACAGTTTGACCACCCGGACCACTGCATTCTCCTTCACAAGCTTCAAAGCCATAGAATCGGTGACTCAGTGCTAGGTTGGATAACCAATTTCCTCTATCAACTTCAGCTGAATGTGAGAGTCCGCAGTTTCATTTCTGACCCAATTTAAGTTCAGTAAGGTGTACCCCAAGCATCGATACTCGGACCACGATTATTCCGAGTAATCATAAACGACCTTGTCAGTGTTTTCCAGCCGGACTTCTTACTATTAGCAGACCACCTCAAGACCTGGTACGACATCAAGGCAATGGACGACTACGCATCACTGCAGAGTGATTTTGACAGGGCCTGTACGTAGTCGACCGAAGACCAGCTCCAGTTCAACGTTGTGAACATACGCCATCGGCGTACCCATGAATATCGACTTGGGGGCCAGCAATTGCATCGTGCTTTCTAAAAAAGCGATCTGGAAGTAATTGTGTGGGATGACTTTCGGTACCCCAAACAGACTGAAAAGACATGGAAAAGAACCCGTCCGCACCTTGGACTTACGGAAAGCCTTTGGAAACTTCGAGCCATATATCTTTCCGCAACCATTGTACACCTATCCGAGGCCTAACGTGCAGTACGCGGTCCAAACCTGGCGTCCCTGGCGCAAACACGATATTAATGGACTTGAAGCTCCACTGCATAGAGCGATGAAATTCCTTAGGGGTTTTTGCCACGTCCCCTACCAACGCAGACTGCAAGCTCTTGGACTGTACAGTGGTGAATATCGTTATCAGCGAGGGGACCTCATCATAGCTTACCCAATACTGACAAACGCCAATCACACCTATAGCAGCCTGCGACAGCTCAGCCACATTACCAACCTGAGAGGTCACCTGCTCAAGCTGGCTTCACAGTACAGTCGACTTGCTTGTTGATTATTGTTTGCACCTTTGGGTATCCAGAACATAGAACGACCTTCCGACACGCATCATTTTTTGCAGCAACCTTAATGCTTTTCAGAAAATATGTTGACGACACGCTATCCCATTGGTAATACTTGATATAGTCCGTTTCACTCAGTGGACGAAATAACTCAAAGCAGACTACGTCCTCACCATTCCTTTATGTAACATGGGAGTGAGGAAACCTACCTCATTGTTCACGTGAATAGCTTGGGGAGTCGCTCAAAACCCGAATTTTCCCTCTTCCCACATTATAGTTTAACCTTTGGTTTCATAATCCGCACTCTGGCCGTCATACTGGACTTATCAACCGATCGCTTTTATCCCGTCATAGATCATCGTTCTGTAGATGCTCGTGTATAAGCAAATGCCGCCTACTTATATTTCCCAAAGACACCCGGCCATCTGGGCTGTCACATTCTGCTGCACAAGCTTTAGAAGTATGAAATCAGCGATCCTGTTCTGGGTCGGATAGACGACATTCTCGTTCAGCGTCACTTGAATGTGTGGGTTTGAGCCACCCTGTCAGAAACAATCGAAGTCCAGTGCGGTCTATCTCGGGGCTCGGTACTAAGGCCTGCCTGTTCCTGGCCTTCACAAATGGTCTCGCAAGGGCGCTATCTTCAAACATCCTACTACTTGCCGTTGATCTAAATATATGGCATGCTATCACTACAGTGGGGGATCACCCACCCCTACAAGATGATCTGGATAAACTGTACACAGGGTCCACCGAGAGCATGCTGCAGTCCAACGCCACCAAGTGCAAAGTTCTGAGCATACACTATCAGAATACCCATAGCTACCAGTTATGGTCACAAATTCTACAGCGGGCCTCTCATGAGGGCGTTCTCAGCGTGCTCGTGCAACATGACCTTGATTGTTTGAGGCTGAGTGAAAAGGCATCAAAGAATGCAAACCAGCACTTCGAGCTTCTTTGTAGAGCGTTCGGTAAGTTCGACGCCTCCGTCTTACCGAAGGTGCTTGGCGCGTACGTGAGGCCGCACGCGGAATACGCTGTCCAAGCGTGGCAATCCTGGCAGAAGCACCAACATACTGCACAACGCAGGGCGACGAAGAACGTCGGAGTTTTGTCCCGCCTTCCATAGCCACACTGGATAAAAACTCTAAAGATGTGCAGCGGACGTTATCGGCCTCTACAGTGAGATCTAATAATGGTGTATTAGATCCTAAGAAATCCCAACCACACATGATATTCTTTTGAAACAACCAGAACACATCTCTGAAGAGGTCATCAGTAAGTTGGCCAAGCAGTACAGCCGACTCTGCTGTCAACGAAACTTTCTCTCCCTCCGAGTGTCATAGTCCTGGGACGCCCTCCGGACATATGTAATTAATGCCTCCACCTTATCCCTATTCAGAAAACGTCTTGACGACAATTTGGGTTATAGCCCATACCGATCAGATGATGGCATTAGGGCACAATAAAAGGGGACAGTGTCATAATCCTCCGAAAACTTCAGACAGCAGTACTCCTACATGTGCTCATGCAAACCCCTTGGTGAGTCAAGTATCTCAGGCGTACTTTAATCGACACCGTTTTTAGCTTGGAATTTTCACCCAGACCATCCTAAGGGACTTGGTGGGCATTTGCTTTTCTACCCGTCGTAAGCCATTGCTGCGTTGTTTCTTATATTTCCTGAATTAATGAAAGGAAAACAATCGATCATTCGCAGCCCATTAGTTTGTTCATACTCAGGCTACTCATTCTTGCTCAAATAGCTTCCTGCTAGTTGGCTGTACCGTGTTTGTTCGTCATCAGATTGTTCGTATTGCTCGGGCCGTCCATGTTCATCGGGGACGGCTTAACACACAAATTCCCTCTGTTCCCCAGTCTCTCCATGAAATCGAGGTGGTTGGACGTACACATATTTATATGGATATCACGTTGTGGCCAGAACACATTTTTGGTAACATTTCGTTTTAAATTAGAATTTTCGACTAAATCAGCCTACGGAACTTATTATGCATTGTACCATTGCTCAGGCACTGCAACCTAATGAGTATTCCGTGTGGTTTAGGTCGATGACATGCTTCCTTTCGACAATTAATCGCTTCGACACACAAAAACGGGTCAAAAGGGTAAACTTCAGACTTGTTGAGCCTGACTGTCTTACTTGCAACAACGCACTATTCTACCGCATCTCGTGAAAACTTTCATCGCGCAACATTTCACCACGCCATTGGATGTGCAGGCGAGGTCACCAACCTTACAGCAAATGCTCGAGGTGATTTTGCTAACCTTCGCTACCTACTGCGCCGGCGCGACATCATTCTCTCCCTGAAGGGTAGAATGCACAATGCAGCCGTACATTCGACCCTGCTGTGCGGTTGTGAAATCTCGTCCACTAGATCAACCGACATAAAGTGGCTAGTTACGTTCGACTGCCTGTGCCTTCGCAGTTTGTCTTATATCTGGTGGGAACAGCGTGTGATCAATGAGTGCGTTGGATGTCTCGTTTATGGCGTAGAAAGAAGAAACGAAACGCTCAGCACCGTTATTTCACGCACCAGACTCCGATGGCTGGGCCACGTGTCACGCATGCCAGCCCACCGACTCTCGTGACATGCGTTGTTTGCGCACCGGAGGTAAGGATGGAAGAGGAGGGGTGACCAAGCAATGAATTGGTAAAGAGGAATGAAGACCCTCACTTTGAATTTGGCCTTGGTTGGAGCCTCTCGGCTGCTGGGTTGGGGACCGAAGAACGATGAGCACATTTGGCTAGATACACTTGTTGACATGGCTAGGAGCCGACCTTAGTGGCGTTTATGTTGTGAGTTTCTTTGTCCCTCCCCTCCCACTTAGCCTGTCCCTCCAACCCCGATCTCATCTAGCAGACATAATATAACTCCTTTTTTGCAGCACGGAACGATGTCCTTCCGTTACCGCTGAGTCAGTCGGCATGCCTTTGTTTCATTTTTCCTTGTCTTTTTATAGCAGCACAATAGCTGAGTTATTTTCCACTTTTAACTAACGTATATTAGCATGTTGACACTTCACGGAACTCAGCCTTCTTATAGGCATAGCCTCCACTGTCAAGCACTTTGGATAACGTTCGACATATTTCCCCTTACAAACTTCACACCGATTATTGTTACCATTGTTATTGTCATATGGAAGCATTCTTCTATTTGTCAACAAAGCTACTTGCACACGGATCGCTAATAAGTCGTGACTCGACTCTGATGAATGGTTTCGCCATTGTCGATCTGATTGTGACCGATATCGATCGGCCACTTGACGTCTTCCGCAACCCATGACAGCAGTAATCTGCTACTCATCTGAAGTCGACCACGTTTATTGGTGTACTGTGTGCGTACGGTTATCAGCTTTGTCCGTATCTAGTCACACATGTGATCATTGAGGACACTAATGATGTACGAGCGAGTTTGCTAATTCAAAAAAACGCATGTCTGGTATTTTCTCAGCCATCGTTTTTACTTGCGTACACCCTTTGCTATTTCGTTAGTGTCTGTTCGCTTGGTGGGCGTCTTCTTTCATCATCCTTCTACACGGTAAATGGTACGGCGGATTGTTCGAACAACGCTACTGGACCAATCTACGAAGCTTATTGTGGCAATCCGGAAATTGCAACTAACAAATCTTGCGAGTTCTTTTACAACAACGAATTAGAATACTATCCTGCCATGCCTGGATTGAGTTCGAATAAATTTTTCGGTATGTCTACTGTTTGTTTGTAGTCCTCTTGCAATACTCATCTTATTCGATCTTGATCGTGTCACCTACTTTGTGCACTGTTGTTTCTTCTCTACAGAAAACTTTCTTTCATCGTTTTACCGAAACAAAGGCGAAGCTTATGACAACGTGGATTTTCCTCCAAAGCGTGAATATGGCCAAGGTCCCAACGTTGCCGATATGAGCACCAGTTTCATGATACTCCTGGGCATATATTTCCCATCGGTGACTGGTTAGTTTTCGACTTTTTCGAGACACCTTACTAGTGCGATCAACCGTGTTTTAACTCTTTGACGTCCATCAGCAGATCTTATTTTGCTCATGTCCTCCTCAGGCCAGTTTACCTTGTTCTTTTCATTGGTAAAGTCCTTTTATCCCATAAATATTTGTGTAATTCACTCACAGTAGTGGTTTGGAATTGCTTCGTAACTAATTGCACTAGTTTATTGTTTTTTCTGTGATTCTACATTACGCTCTTTCCGTCGTATCAATCGGTACCAAATTTTGAAATTGCAAAGCAGGTACCTTGTGGTAGTTGCTCCAAAGTCGTTGAACATCGCGAAAATGCGATTACATGCAGTTTATGGAGCGTAAAGTTTCATTTTTCTTGTATTGTGTACCGAGTTCGCGTAATTCAAGGCATTCAGCACGATTTTTTGAAGATCATTTATAAACAATGTCAGTTTAAGCTTGGGCAGAAAGGATCCGAATGGTCTGACAAGCGGATCAGTGGAGCGAAGTTTGCTGAAACGCGCAGCTCGATTTGTCCTGCACCACAATCGGAGAAGTAGCCAACACCTAGTACGGCACCTAATCTTCCCTGGAGCAAAGTGCGAGCGCTCCGGCATTTCGGCTTCAATACCTACGATTTCTTCAGTTGACACTAAAACTGCAATAAGCAAATTGGTGATAACGAATGGGAAATGCAAAGACCAAGGAAACCAAGAACAATGTCCAGCGACCTGAGGTGCCGCAGCCTCATGGTCTTTCACGCACCTGAATCTTGTGATTCCAATTTTTAGGTGCGCTATGAACATGACGTCGAGTTTATGCTTACTCTGATTGATAAACTGCACGACGTGGATGAGGTCGGACTGAAAGTGCAATACATCGCTCGTCTCAGAAAGAGAACCGAGGGGAAAAGTCGACCTATGAGGGTGACTTTTGTTGAACCATCGAGTCCTAAGTTAATATTGTCACGCCTTGGTAGGCTGAAGGGTCTAAAGATCCGCGTGCACGCTGACTTAGACCAAGCAGACAGCGAGAAACGCAAGTCTGCGATAACTGAACTAAAACGACGCACGGACGATGGGAAAGTAAATCTCCATATTGTAAATTTTCGGTAGTCACCCTGATTCCTCCAGGAAACCGGATCAGCAGGTTGCTGATACTTCAGCCGCGCCCAGCGGTTCTTACCGTGGCCTGCGAGTTGCCTTTATTAACACCTGCAGTCTGATGAACAAACGCGATGAGCTGCGTTACTTTGTAACCTTTCAGCGGCCAGACATATTAGATCTTGCTGAGACATGGTTACGCTCCGACGTAATCTCCCAAGAAACGGAAATCAACGGCTACTCGTGCTTCCAGTGTGATAGACCATCAAATGATCGCGGGGGCGTTCGGCTTTACATGGGGTCTTCCTTGTGTGGG